CAAAAGACCCACTTTTACTCTCTGGCTTTAAACACTGCGTGAGTTGTGTGATCCACTGTGTCTTTTATTCACTTATCTTTATTTTATTAATTTATTTTATTCATTTTTAACATAATTTTAGCTTTATACATTTTAACACTTTTTGTTTTTTTGCTTTTATTTATGATTTACCTCCTTTTATAGTATTGATTTGTCTTTGCAGCACTTTGGGAACGGTCATGATTATAAAATGTTATAATGTTGACCTGGAGTTGTGTTTTGTTTCATTCACACGTTTGAGTAACTCTTTATTATTATCTTGTCTACATCCCCAAAGCTAAAACACTCTTTTCCAACTTGTGATACCCTGCAGTGTTAGTAAGTTAACTTCTAAATTTTACCTTTAGTTCAATAGAGATTAGCAATTCTAGGACTAAAATCATCCAAATGATTCTAGTGAAGGCGTATAGAGTTTAAAAACACAATGGGAAAATGACATCGCAAGGTCTGTTTGTGATGAGGAAACGTCATTATAACATAGATCGGTGTAATATGGGTCCTTTAAAAAAAACATTATCACCATTATCCCTAGAATCTTTACATAACTACACACAATTAGTCATTTATAAACGTCACACTCTTAAGGCTGAAGTATAGTTCTGCGTCGACTCATCGCGCACTGCCGCCTTCGCCTTGTCGCTGTCGTTTTTTGATTTATGGATCTGCGTCGAGGTCTGTGCACCGCGAAGTAATTCACTGCCGAAACGCTAGGGGGCGACAGTATCTGTCCATTCATATATACGGTCTGTGTGTGTAACCTGCAGACGTATAATCTTTGAAAAGTTTAACATGAGCCATCCCTAACGCGATAAAAGCACAGAACAGACTCAGCATTAGTACAATATCCCTCTGTCACAGAAAGAACACTCATATTCCACTGAGTCGTGTACTTTTTAAGTCCGAGAGAAGCTGACCGTGTACCAGGAGCGAATTGTTTTATGAGCGTTTTGTTTATGTAAGTTAGCCATGTAGTTTTAAGTTTTGTTTCTGTAAAGCGTAAACACACATGCGCAAAGCTTCATTAAACACATTATTTCGCAATATATACTGAAAGAAAGGAAAGCCAAAAGGAAATGTAGAGCGGTGGTACGGAGGACCAATCACAGCTCTTATCATCTGCGTCGCTTCCCCTGCTGTCTGCGTCGTTTTGATGCGTAGTTAGAACATTTCGGAGGTGCATGTCGGTCGACGAAGAGGCTCTGCGTAGGGGGTACGCATCGTGACGCAGACGATTTGACGCTGGACCGTAAATTGGCCTTTACTCATTGTTACGACCCAGCTCGTTTGGGGTGAGGGAAGTAACAAATTTAAAGCCAAGATGTAAAATGGAATGGAAAATAACCTAAACTAAGAAACAGAACAACAGAATAAACAGTTTTGTGCCAGAAAAGGGGTCACGCAGGCTTACACAAAAACGAGTGGTAAAACTTAGGGACACACACTAAACTAAAACACAAGTTCCCCAAATTAAACCACATAAACCCACAAACAGAATCAAGTGACCAAATCAAAAAAGGCACAAAACAGAACTAAACTAAACTACACAAACACGAAACCAAAATGGCAGACTGGCCACCAAGGCCAGCAGCCCTGAACAGGTGCTGGTAAATCTCCTTATATATGGGGCGGTGGCTGCAGGTGAGGTGGGCGTCGACCTGCCCCACCAATCACAGACCAGGGCTCCTGCAGCAGGAATTACGAGAACTTGGCAAAAATCACACAAATTGGAACTAAGGCCTGGGGCCGTAACACTCATGCATATACACACACACACACACTCTTACAGACACACACACACACACTTTACACCTTGTCTGCTGTGGCGGTGTATGCATTTGTATCGTATTGTTTCGTATTGTACTTACTGTATTGTCCTGTCCTGTTTAATCTCTATGTGCATGTTGTATGATGCAAATGAAATAAATAAATACATAAATAAATAAAAAGATTGACTATGAATAACAAAATGCACCCTAAGAAAAACAAAACAAAACAAAAAAAGAACATTATCACTCGTCAGTCTATCTGTGCTATGTTTCTATTCTTGACTCTACAGAGCAGGATTTTATGGTGTAGTTTGGTTTAGCAATGAGAAAGAACTTTATGGAGCCAGTAACAACCAAAAAGGATGAAGAATTACAAACATTTATTGACAATTCCGCAAAATATTCCAATTCTATATCTGGAAACTAATCAGGTTTACTTGGGCTTTCTCAAACACGCTACAGCAGCAGTGACTATAAAAGCATTTTGTCTTTATGAACATTAAAAATCCTTCTGTAAGAAGATTCACACACTTTCACTTTGAAAGAAAAAGATGATACAAAACCTGAGTACATCACAGTGAGGTAAATAATGCATTTTAAGCTTTAAATAAAATGAATAAAGAACATTATTATTAAGGCTTTTAACAGTGTTTGAAAATGAAACATGCATATAAAGCGATCGCAACAGGCTTAACATTTCATAGTTTGTTTAGTTTGTCACATGATATGAGATTTGTAATGTGACGTGTTCGAGAAAAAATTAGACAACAATAGCTGAAATTTAAAAAGATAAAGTATTATTTAAGTATTTTTTATTTGTTTACATTTTCTTGTTATGTTAAAGTCGAGTGTGTAGTTATTTTTACTTGCCTTGAGCCCCTTTTTGTTTGGCCCTAAGCCGAGGCCGCTCCAAACACGCTCACCTGTTTAGAAATGTCTCAGATAGCATTCTCCGTCAGCCGTCCGCTTAAATAAATGCTCTGGGCCCTGTTGCGTTGACAGTGGCTCGCATAAATCTCCAAAGTATGACCGGTATTGTAAAGGCTTGTGGCATAGTTGGCATAGGTGGAGATAGTTCGCGTCATTAGAGTGTTACAGATTTCTTCTGTCCAAAATGAGAACTTGGCAGAGCTTTATCAGCTATGCCAAAATGTAAAATGTTCTAAGGTAAATTATAGCAGTACAACTCACAGAAATGAATAAATAAATAAATTAATTAAAGATGCGTTATGTAACTTTCCACAGTGAGGGTCCGTCACCCGAATGTTTCCATGGAGATGGTGTTTGTCCAGGATATTCCACAGTATGACATTAGACTTCTGTTTCTATTCATCATTTACACATAGAGGTGTGCAAAAATATTGATATATTGATATATCATATTGTTTAATGTGATGATACAGTATCGATATCGTGGGCTGCTATATCGATATATCGCCAAGAGGATTTTTGATTAATTCTACAAAATTATTTTGTTACAGCTACAGTTTTGCATTTGACATTTTCACAGTTTTGATGATTAAAATGGGTGTTTTTCATATTCACTCTGCAGAAGAAGTGGTTTAACAAAAGCTTTTAGTATGACAGTCATGATATAGCCTTTACTTTTTACTGAACTATACTGAATCGATTTGAAATATATCGTATCAAATCATATCGAATCGAAAGTTCACTGTACTGTATCGAGGTATGTATCGTATCAGCAACTTCAGCTCTATGTACACATGATCAAAAATATTTTGAAAAACATGCATTCTTATGGTCTTGCCTCTACACCAGGCATGTCCAAACTATGGTCCGTGGGCCAAATGCGGCCCTCAGACAAATTTTTTTTGGCCCTCAGACTTCGAGGAGAATTGGCCCAAATGACCATGCATCAATGAAAAATGTACTTTTTACTGCAAGTTTTTTGAAAATCTACCTTGGTAAAGCTCATATTTAATACTTAGTGTGTGGTTTTAAGGATCTTAGCACAAATAAAGACTACTGGCTCATTCTAACGTGTTAAACATGCACATATTTCAATTATTCACTGTACTGAGCACCAGTCTACGGCCCTCGATCAGCCCTCTGCTTCATGTGTGTTTGGAGATGTGGCCCTTGATGAAAAACGTTTGGACACCCCTGGTCTACACAGATCTGACGTATAACTAGACCTGGTGGCACCACCTGCTTATCTTAATAAAGATAATAAACTTTAATGACATACTGTGGACCATTCAAGGCTATAACATTTCCATGGAGACGAGCGAGTCACTGACCATCCTGCAAAACAGTAACAGTGGACCTTTAAGTTCATCTTGCAGTTACACTAAAGTGGAACTAAACATTAAATCCACTTTTATCCCCTACTTTACTATTCATATAGTGTTTTAATTAGGGGTGTAACAATATCCTAGTCTCACGATACGATATCGTCACGGTATGAACCTTACGGTACGATATTTTGTGGAGGCTAACAAAATTGTGAATATGCTACTTTTTCATCTTAAAATGCCCTGACAAGATTTAACCCAAAGAACTAAGACTTAAAAGTGCTTAGAACTGTTATTTCTTCTTGTAGTCTGCACTAAAATGGAGCAAAGGATCATGGTCTATGTAGTTCCCTCTGTTTTTTTCTTTTAGCTATTGCTGCACCATAACTCTTAATTTAAGCAAAGAGACTTGTAACTCGATATATTGTGATGGTCCACGATATTACTGTGAGAACTTTGACGATACGATATCACAATATTTCGATTATTGTTACATCCCTAGTTTTTTTAGCATTGCCTACTGTTCCTAATCATATTTTGGCATTACTAACACAAACTAGGCACATTTTCAGCTTCCTGATCACAAATCTAAGTTTGTGCCGCTTTCAGTGGCTTCTGCAATTTCAGGTAGTTGGTGACATCACACATGACTGCCCTGATTACAGTGAGGTGTTTCTGTTTCTTACAAACTGTTCCCGGCCCCTCCTCCCCCGTCACTGCCTTTTAGTCCTCCAGGTACGGCTCAGATTAAAGTTTATTCGAAACAAATGAGGAAACTTGCGATGATGCTGCCGAAAAGCCACGTAAATAATAAAATGTTTGAACCAAATTGCAAGAACAATTTAAGAGACCTGGATACAGAAAATACGTTTTGATTCGATTTACCTAACCTTTTTTTGTTTTACTTCTTTCAGCTTAACATAAATATTACAAGTTACCATCATTCTTCTTCTCTTAGCGTAATTATAACATCATCGTCCTGTCCTTTCCACAACATCTCCCCCTCGAAGTCCAGCATCTTGTGTTTCCTGCAGCGGAGAAGGATGCCCACAACTTTGTCTGAGATCTTCACGTAGCGATCGAACAGTCTCCCGAAGCTGATGACGGTTCTTCCTTGTTTGTCCTTGAAGCCCATGTCTCTGATGATCCACACCATCTCCTCCATCTCGCGGTGGATGTGTTTGTGGGCGCGATCTCCCCTCTGGGCCGTTTTGGAGCCTTCTTTGGGGCGACCGTAGCCTGAGTCGCCCTTCTTCAGCCTCTGGCCCATGGCGTACTCGTAGTCAAACTCCTCGCTGAAGGGGTTGAGTTTCTGGCCTTCGACGTGCTGCTCGGACCACTGCTGCCACCGGCTCTTGATGTCCCCCATAGAGGCGATTTTGATCTGGAAAACAAAATGCGATTGGATTAAAAAATGCATATTGTGGTATTGTTTTGGTATGATCTGTGTGTTCAAGAACCCCACGAGCAAAAGTTGTCTTGTTCCAGTACAGTTACATTGCATAAGCCGCTCTTGAGGTCAAAATAAGTCTGCTGTGATCTGTCCCCATCTAATTAGAAATCACTTTATCCAATGGAATAACTTTGGACCACTGCAAACTGTTTAAAATGAAGTTCTCTCTTTTTCACATTTTTAAGACGGCAAAAAAAAGGTACTCTGCCCATAAAAGCAAGTGTATTTGGTTGAAAAATTGTGTTATACTGTGGTCCAAAGCAAGAAAAAACATCTGATTAAGACTTTTTACCAAAATGTAATAAAAAATAAAAATAAAAAATTGGATATCTTGGTGTGCTATTCATTTTTTTTTTTTTTTTTTTCACTTTTAAATTGCTGTTCCTTGCATTTTCAACTCTACAAGAACTTTGGTGTGCATTTTCTGTTTCATTTGATACAGTGGTGGAAAGTAACAAAGTACAAAAGTAAAAGTATACTACTTATGTACAATTGTTTGGTATCTGTACTTTATGTGAGTGAATTTTACAGTGGATACTTTTTATGTTTACTTCACTACATTTTAGAACAGGTAACTGTACTTTCTACTCCACTTCATTTTTTAACTGGACTGAAAAGTAAAAAATCCTGTTTTTTAAATATGATTTGAATGGTTGTTTTAGAACATTCATGATAACTTCCTGACAAAAGGTTTTGAGTTCAAGGGCCTGTTTACACGAGAACACTTGCAAGTAAAAACAAGAAAATATTTCAACAGAAGTGCCTTTCTTTTAGACGGTGAAGGCGTTTTTGGGGCTTAAAAATGCAAAAATCTGAAAAGTTGAATATACTTTGCCATAGCGTTTCTGTCTACACGGCCCAAGACACAAAACTCCGGTCAGATCTGCTCACGTCACGTACACGTTTACGTCACATACATCACCACCGAGTGTCACCACCGAGCCGCCTGGCATGCACACGCAATCGAGTTCCACACACTTTTTCATCACCGAATTCACGCAGATTTCCTCCCGTAAGCGCTCGCCTAAACGTGGAATAAAAAGTGAAAACGCGACTCCACTTTTGAGCGTTCTGTTCTGTTCAGACCGTCATCATATAAGCGTAGCCCAAGTCTCGGTGTTTTTGAGCAAACAAAAATATATACATGAAATTCCACAGCTCAATTAAAAAATCTGCACAGTCTTTATCAGTATCACTACATTTAACACTTTAACAGATCTCATAAACTATGTGAAATCCTTTTTGTGTTAAAACATGAAACAAAACACAACTCCAGGATGAAGAAACAACATTACAACATAAAACAAAATATGGACACTTTAAACCTAACCCAATGTGAACCCTGTGAAATATCAGAAAACATGGTTAATATTTTCTTGGTAATAATTCAGAAATATGGCTGCAAAAATACCACATTATTTCCACTCTGTTGCTATACAACCCATTTTTTTCCACGAAGCAATAACACAAGCTTGACTAGTGAGACTGTATTTTTAAAGTAGTAGGACATGAATACTTTAAAGATGCACTATGTACCTGCTTGTTTGTATGGATTACATTTATTTATACATTTACAGGTGGTTTTATGGCTCAAAAATACCAAGACTAGACCATTCTGACTGTAACTCGGTCTGGTTTGGTCTCCATGAAGACAGAAAAGGGTCCATTTTATTCTACACCGTAAGTCTGCCGCACATGCTCCTGTCATGTAGCGTCTGTTTAAATATTCCGGTGCTGACATGACCCCCTACCCTTTCCTCCACATCTTCTCCCTTTGATTAGCCACACTAAATCTTTAAATAAGTCTTCTGTGAAAGCGATCCATACGACTGCCTCTGACTGGAGTTAATATAGCAGTGTGGAAAACAACTCAATGGAAAAAAAATAAATAAAATCACACGCAGGGGACCGTCTTTTCTTTAGAAACAATTAATGTTGCTGAGAAATCCCAAAAGCATCGGCACACGGTGATTTAGCAACATTCATTCAAAGTTACTGCGTGCAAAAATATTATTATAAATGTTGGAGGGTCCGTCAAATGCTTTTTTCCATGGAGATGTGATTACTTTGTCTAGAATGTTTCACAGTAGGGCATTAAACCTTTCTATTTTCAGGCAATCCCGCTCACAGTCAGAATTAGGGGTGTGCAAAAATACTGAAATATCAATATATCGTATCGTTTAATTTGATGGATATCATGGGCTGCTGTATCGATATATCACCAAGAGCATATTTTTTTGGTATATTTTACTCAGTTATTTTGTTACAGCGCTACAGTTTTGTTGTCTGATTCATCAGCTGGTTTCACTTTGAGGAAACCGTCTGACCTCGCAGCGTTAGGATTCGTTCGCTCGACGGTAGGCAGCTACTTTTTAATTTAACCAATCGCTGCTATTTGGTCGTGACGTATGTAATGCGCCAAATCCCGTAGGAAGAACGTCTTTCCCCTTGATAAAATTTACCAAACATTCTCTTTTTTCAGGCTTTAAATCTTTGATCTTAGGAATCGTTGCCAACACAGAATGTCTGTCTTCGTCTACATCCATCTCGATCGCTTTGTTTACTGTTGTGCTGTTCCACAAAATGGACCCAGACAGGAGCTTGAGTTTGACGTCATGGCTTCACAGCTCTTCTCTGATTGGTCGGTGCGTGATATACAACTTCGGGGGTTCTTGAAACCGTCTAGTGTATTCCGATTTCTGATCTAGTCGTTGGAGAGAAATTAAATTGAGTGGAGGTACTAGGTGGTGCCAGCCTGAGTAAACAGATTTGTTGCTTGTTTAGACAAAAGAAACTCGACACATTTGACATTTTCACTGTTTTGATGAGTAAAATGTGCATGTTTCATATTCACTTTGCACAAGAAGTGGTTTAACAGAGACTTTTAGTATCACAGACATGATATAGCCGTTATTTTTTATTGAACCGTATCGAATCGATTTGAAATATATCGTATCGAATCCAGAGCTCACTGTATCAAGATATGTATAGTATCGTGGCCTATGTATTAAGATATGCCTGTATTTTAGGGATGTAACAATAAACGAAATATTGTGATATCGTATCATCAAAGTTCTCACAATAATATCAAGGACCATCACAATATATCGAATTACAAGTGTCTTTGCTTAAATTAAGAGTTATGGTGCAGCAATAGCAACAAAAAAACAGAGGGAACTACATAGACCATGATCCTTTGCTCCATTTCAGTGCAGACTACAAGAAGAAATAACAGTTCTAAGCCCATTTAAGTCTTAGTTGTTTTTAAAGGTGAATTATATAATATTTTGGGTGGGGGTCCGTCACCTTTTTGTTTCTGTGGATATATAATTGTTCTGCCAGTGTGACATTAAACAGCTCTACGTTACATTTATTCAATTACAGGTGGTTTTATAGCTCAAAAATACCTAGAAAAACAGGAATTCTGACTAAGCGGGGTCGTCTCTCCACAGATCTGACCCGTAACTTGGTCTGTTTTTCGTCTCCAATAACATAGAAAGTTACACAGTGCACCTTTAGGTTAAATAAGTGGTCTGGAAAAAGTATTTGGTGTGATTCATTTGACGTTTGACACAATATTTGCAGGTGTTGCTAAGGATTGAACCGCAGGGCCGTCTTAAAATGCTGCTCGGGGTTGCCAGTTTGTCACCAGATCCTCTTGGTATTCGGACGGATGAAACTCAAGACGTGACACTTGGAGTTTCCACGAAGCCTCTTTGAACTCATAAAGCGATAATACTGAAGGTCAACACTCACGCGGGCTGGAGCCGGGTTCATTTTGATAGTAAATAACAGAGCTTAAAGTGGCGCTACGGGACTTTTCTGGAGCAGTTTGATACATTTGATGCCGCACTGTGGAACATTGGCAAAGCAATAACATCTCTGTGGATATAAAGACGTGCTGTACCCGTCACCGGAAAAGTTACGCAGTGCATTTTTAATTTATAGTTCAGCAGAGGTGGAGACTTGCAATTCGTGACTTGGACTTGAGTCAGACTTGAGATAATATTTTTAGGACTTGAGCCTTGACTTGATAAAATGGACTAAGGCTTGGGACTTGACTTGGACTTGAGGCCTGTGACTCGAGAAAACTTGAGAAGCTCTTTTAAATCTGAATTCGTTCTTTTCCGACTGTAATGACTCACACTAAGATCTTGTCAAGACATTTAAAAAGGAGAAATTTACGTTTCTACTCTTATATACTCTATAAATACTCATAGATAAATATACTATGAATTTTTTAAGTGCAATTTATCTTAAAATTCATACAAATTGCAAAAATCTAAGATATACTTGGTACTTTGGTTTAAAGACTTGAAATGACTTGAAGCTCAAAGCAGACGACTTGGACTTGACTTGGACTTACGGGCCAGTGACTCGAGACTTGACTTGGACTTGCCTGTCTTTGACTTGGGACTTGACTCGGACTTGAGGTAAAAGACTTGTTACTTACTTGAGACTCGCAAAACAACGACTTGGTCCCACCTCTATAGTTCAGTGTAGTAATATGTCAAGTTCTCATTAGGCTATTATGATTACCGTATTTTTCGTACTATAAGTCGCACTTTTTGGGGGAAATTTATTTTATAAAATCAGAGACCAGGAACCAACGTTTGATCTTAAAAGTCAAGTTCTAGTAATAACAATAGAAGAGAGAACAACAGACTGTTAACGTCACATATGAACAGTTCTTCAGATAAACTATAACATAAACAACAGAACAGAACAAGTTTAACAAACTCTACATCTCACTCCAAATCACTAAATCCATTAAATTCTTTATCCTCACTTCTTCTGTGTCACTTCTGAGCAACTCTACGACCTCTGGAGGTAAACAGTAGCTTCCTCTTTTGTGTAGCTGTCGTCAGACTCAGCATCAGTTCCAGTTAGAATTATTCCGGTCTTTCTGAATCCCGACAGGATGGTTTCGGTGTCACTGAAGTCCAGGATTTGTCGATCCATCCAATGATTTCCACGAAAGTTACATGTTGCACCCTTCCGGTTGCCATGAAGCTGTGTTCTCCATCCCCGCTTTCCACCAGTCCCTCACAAGTTTCTCGCTCACTCCAAACTTTCTTTCTGCTGCTCAATTACTGTTTTTGGCTAAATATTTCACTACTTGCAGGAGAACAGAGGCTTTTTCTGCAGGAGACATGCGCAGTAGAGCGAAGTGACAGTGGTACAGTAGTAATAGTAACAGCAGAGCTTAGAGCGCCTTTTCGCGGCTGTCAGTGTGAACATTTTAATATATAAGTCGAAGGATAAGTCACAGTACCGCTCAAACCATTAAAAAAAGTGCAGCTTATAGTCCAAAAAATACGGTATTTACGAATGTATGTGCCTTTTGTTTAAAAGAGACGACAATAAATGCACTGACAGTATTTTGAATGTTTAAAAACTATAATCCCAAACCCTAAGGTGAGAGGAAAGGGTTAACATTTCATATTTAGCCCTAAAAGTCTGATCAATTTTTCACATGTAGGTGCTGTAAAGTCATGGAAAATTCACTTTAGGTCATGGAAAAGTTTTGAAACTTTGTCAGTGAAAAAGATTGGGAACCCTGTACATAAGAACTCTGTGAACTGTCTTCTATAAAAGGTGAAGGGGGCGCCACCGTAAAACTCAGTGGAACACATGTAAATAAATACACTCTGAAGGGAGCAGGCCTGGACTTCAGGGGGGAGGGGTTAGGGGGAGAAACCAATACCACAACAAGGAACTCACTCCAAACTTATTTAAAAACTTCTATGATTTTTTACTAACAATTTGAGACATCTTTGCTTAGATAGTTTATCATTTATGCATCGTTATATCTTTTTCCATGACTTTTTTGTGACCTAAAGTGAATTTTCCATGACTTTATGGCACCTTTTAGGGCTAAATATGAAATGTTAACCTTTTCCACTCACCTTATGGTTTGGGATTATAGTTTTTTAACATTCAAAATACTGTCAGTGCATTTATTGTCATCTTTTTTAAACAAAAAGACGTTCAGAAATAATCATAATAGTCTAATGAGAACTTGACAGAACACTGTAGTTGTGTGAAAGAAGTATAAAAACTTTCATTGAATTTACAGAATTCCATGACATTTCCAGGCCTGCAAAATGGCATTTTCAATTTCCATGATGACTTTTCCAGGATTTCCATGACCGTGGGAACCCTGTATGTAACCGTGAACACACACACATACGCACACAGACACACACACACACACGAGACTATATGACAAATAACAAGGACAGATCTGAACTGTAACTTGGCCTTATGGTGTTATCTTCCATGGAGACAAGCAGGGGGCAGAAAAGTTACACAGTGCACCTTTAATCTGTGTGTCAATACATTAATTATTATTTTTTTCTTCATATTTATACATTTTCTACATTCTATTTACACACTGCAGGTATTTTTTAAAGTTTATTTTAAGTTTTTGTTTACCACATTCCATATGTGTCGTTTGTAGTTTTTACTTTTTAAGCTGCACTATGTAACTTTTTTAGTTCTTGTTTCTATGGATATACCATTTCTCTACCAGGAATGCTCCACAGTATGACATTAAACAGCTCTACCTTACATTTATTCAATTACAGGTGGTTTTATAGCTCAAAAACACCTACAAAAACAAGCATTCTGACTGTGAGCGGGGTCGCCTCTCCACAGATCTGACCCGCAACTTGGCTTGGTTTGGTCTCCATGCATAAAGAAAGCAGAAAACAAAGCAATAACATCTCCATGAAGAAAAGCATTTGACAGACCCTCCACGAGAAAAAAAGTTACACAATGCATCTTCAAATTCTGGAATCTCAAATAGCTCCAAAAAAAAAATGTATTTGTAAGTAAAAAAAATTGAATATTCTTCTTATTTTCCGAGCTGTAGCCTTAAATTAGCACAGCCCGGAGCACTGTAAAAGCCTTCTGTGTGTACTAATGTTTTATGTAAGCTGTAAGCTCCATTGACCTGCTGTCTGCGAGATGGAGTCTGACAGGACGGCGCAGTGAGGAGCAGAGCCTGTTGACATCCGTGTCCTTGTACTCTCACCAGCCTGACATTGACTTCCTGTACTTTAGAGAAGGTTGGTGCATTGTAAAAAGTGCCCAAACTGCAGCGTCAGGCCCGGGAAAGATTAAGCTACTGTAGTTCTCCGCAAAAGGTCAAACACGAGACACAATTACACCGTGTAAAAGATGAATTCTTTTATTTCGGCAAAATTCAGTTTCGAGAGAAGACACCGAGACACAACTTTTATCCTAAGAAAATGGCGAATAGGAGTGTATAAAAATATTTAAATATCGATATATTTGATTGTTTAATGTGATGATACAGTATCAGTATCGTATTTTTTGGTGTATTTTACTAAATTATTTTAGTTTTGTTGCTTGTTTAGAGGAAGAAAACTCATTTATGCAACACATTTTCACAGTTTTGATGAGTAAAATTAGCTTTTTTTCATATGAACTTTGCACAAGAAGTGGTTTAACAAAGACATTTAGTAACACAGCCATGATTTAGCCTCTATTTTTTTATTGAAACGTATCGAATCGTTTGGAAATATATCAAATGGAATCAAAAGTGCACTGTATTGAGATATGTATCGTATCGTGGCCCATGTATCAAGGTATGTACCATCGGCAACTTCTTAATGATACCCAGGCCTAATGGAGAAAAGAGTGGAAATGGCCTGAAGGTACTGGATTTTTGCAGGTAGAATCTATTAAATATGTTCCTATACGAAATTCTTACTGTTTTTTGGATCAGGCGCCCTAAATAAAAGCAGTCGTCTGTATGTTGGAAACAATGGAAGTGAGACAGAGTAAAGGTGCACCACATGTTTTGGTGAAGGGTACATGAACGTTTGCATCCATAGTGAAGTTTTTGGTTTGGTTTCACAGTATGGCATTAAACTTATTTATTTTGCGCTTTTGAATTACAGGTTTTTTATTGCTTAAGAAATTTTGCAATAAATTTAAACTTTTTAAACTGTGATTAGACATGCCTCTCCACAGATCTGACCTGTTACATGGCCTGGCAGTGGTGTCAGTTTCGAGATAGATATGTTTAATACTGTGTGTAAAATCCCCTGGTAGAATCCATGTCAAAGGAGAAAATCAATTCGTCAACTGGACAAAGTTTATTTGGTCGAATACGTTTCACAGTTCATCCAAGCTGCTTCTTCAGTTCTGGTGAGATGCTGGTGGACACTGCCTTATATCTGTCTCCCGGGAGGAGCTAACAACACTGAAACTACTCTGAAACTCACAAGATATAAGGCAGTGTCCACCAGCGTCTGACCAGAACTGAAGAAGTAGCTTGCCGTTTAATACTGTGTTACATTCCAGGCGCAGCAATTAGATCTCCTTTAAGAACTATAGCTTAACACATTGTTTCCCAAAGACCGGGTCGCAACCCTCAGGTGGGTCGAAAAAGATTTTTTTTGGGTTGCCTTGTCACGATCTGCATATAGCTCTGAAATATACAGTTCTGCCTGTACGCCTGATCTGCTGCTGCTGCGCTCTCCTCCTGCACCTCGGACTGGAACATGATACAAAAACACACACAGGTCGACCTATCTCATTAGAAATGTTGAAATGTTAAGACATGTTTTGTATAATTTCTCATCTTTTAGTAATTATGTTATTGACTATTTTGTTACAGTATTGCTGGTTCAATTTAATGTTGAAAAGAAAAAGAAATGGGTGACTTATGGACCCTTTTATTGCTGCTTCAATTACTGTTTTTCATTGTTTAAAACTTGAGTAATGCTAATTGTTCAGAGAGACACGATCACTCAGTCAACAATAAAATATCCTCATTAATGTTCAATAATGATGAAATCCAGCTTTATTTTGTGATTCATGAATAATTTCTATTGACTTGGGTCGTGAAGGTTTGTGACGTTTTAAAATATGGGTCCCCAGAAAAAAAAAAAGTTTGGGAGACACTGGTTTAACAAAAGTTTTTCCCACTGAAATTATCAAAAGTGGTCAAGTTAAAGATGTATTGTGTAACTTTTCTGGTATTGGTTTGTCTGGAATGTTTCACAGTATGGCTTCAAACCTTTCTATCTTCATGGAGACCAAACCGGACCAAGTTACAGGTCAGATCTGTGGAGAGTCAACCCCGCTCACAGTCAAATTCTCAGTTTTTCTAGGTATTTTTGAACTTTAAAACCACCTGTAATTGAATAAATATAAGGTAGAGCTGTTTATTGTCAAACTGTGGAACATTCGAGACAGACCAATGACATATCCACAGAAACAAGAAGGTGACGGACCCACTATTGAAAAGTTACACAGTGCGTCTTTAAGGTTCAACTTCAAACATACATAAAAAACCCTAACAAGCTGCAATTTGTCGCATGATAACTTTGAAATATATTTCGTTGAGCCAGAAATTTTATGTGAAAATTAAACAAAACACAAATCACACGGGGATGAGGATAAAACCATTAAAATAAAAGTTAGTTTAGAATAAAAAAGCACAAATATAAAACAACGTGCACCAGTAAATTACCTTGGGCCTGGCTGGTTTCTTCACGCTCTCTTCATTTTCAGCTTTGGTCTCGTTCTCCTCCTCTCCCAGCCCGCTGTCCTCCGTATCCACGCTACTGCTCCTCGATGACTTCCTGTCCGCCAGCTTCAGCTTCCTGTCCTGGACCACTCCCCCGCCGCCCTGCATCGCCCTCATGTGGCGTCTCCTGGTCGGCGACTCGTTCCCGAGAAATGGTTTGGTTTCTTCAACGCCGGACTCCATTTTGCCTTTGATAGCGTTCACCACGTCGCTGCTGCTGCACTCGCTACGTTTCGGCTGCACGGTTTTCGTAACGGTACATGTCCGTATTGTGCTTCCTCCGCGTTCACTGGCGTCGGCGTTGATCACGCGCGGAGTCACGCTCAATTTCACCACGTGTTTTTTGGCTTTTTCGCAATCCTCCTCGACGGAAGACGGCATCCAACCGCTCGGTATCGCGTCTTGTTTGTCCGAGTGATCGTTGGCCCAGCCCTGCCAACTTTTAGCGAGGTTTGCCACCATTGCGGCGCATTTTATTTTCTTAACTGCGCGTTTGAAAGCTTGGGGCTCCTGCTGGGAAACCGTGGTCCCACCGGTGCTCATTTTGAAAACGTAAATAAAAACGTTCTGCCAAAAAAATACGTGTGTGTGACTTTTATTCACTTGAATTTCTTGATCCCAAAAATGTTTCTTCTAACAGTGACGTATTCTGAAGCAAATGTTTCAAATGTTATATAATGAAAATGTAGTTTGATGAGCTCAACTTCAATTTGTAGCACTGTTCCCAAACTTAAAAGCCTTAAAAAACGCAGCTAATATCAAAATTCAGTGTATGAAAACGTCTTGTAGCTTACTCAAAAGTTAACGTACCTGGATATTTTCTTTTGAATTTAAGGTAAAGTAAAGTAGTAGCACCGTTGTCTTAGTTGGTTTCAGTTGTTTTGTTGTCCCAAAGTATCAAAAAATACGTCAAATCTTCAGTGTGTCTCTTCTTCTTTCAGTGTTAAAGTCCTTCATGAATGTCCACCGCTTCTTCTGATTCTTCTGACTCGGTTCCTTTATGTCTCTTTCTAGAAACCTCCTGTCCGTTTGGTTTTCCTGTTTTGGTTTGGCTGTGCGTGCTCGTCTTTGGTCTGTCTATAGGCAATAATCCCGAGTGGCTGCTCCTGATCCCTTAAATAGTGTGGCGCTGATCGTAAAGGAAGCGATGATGTTTCGAAAATCCCGTGTCAACATTCCTACGTCGTGGCTAAGTTCAGGTCAGTGATTAGAAGTGTTAGAGGGTATGGGACAGGGAAGGGGGGGGTAGGGGGCATTGGGGTGGAATTTCTCCCATTGGGATCAGGCGACAGGTGCGGCGGGTGTTTTTAGCTCCTGTCCTGACACACACCAAACACCGGCAATAAAGTTACTAATTATACTGGAAGTGCTGGGGAAATAAATGGTGTTATGGAAAAATGAGTGGACGTGAAGGTAACCATCGGAGTTATGAGCTTAAAGTTCATACGGCAGGTTTGGATGTTTTCTTTTTTTTAATTTCGTTTGGTGAGGGAGTAAATATTTATCATATCATCATATCAATTACTGTATTTTCCGCACTATTAGGCGCTCTGGATTATAAGGTGCATTGTCATTAAATGATCTATTTTCTAACTTATTTCACAAATAAACCGCACTGGACTTTAAATGAAACACAACAGTTGGATGGGTCAGTGGGACTTTTGTTTGTTCGTTCACGGTGACTCTGGGCTTTGTTCAGTTGTGGCGTGTAGGGAGGGTGCTGTCTGGGATCGCTGGATTGTCGGCGTGTTCGCAGTGACTCAGTTGTTCAGTTGTGTTTAGAAGCGGCACATCGCACTCGCTTTTTCGGTTCGTTCCTCCGTTCCGTTCCTCTTCGGCGTGGAGTGATGAGTGTGGCTGCGGGTGTTTTTCGCCGCGCGGTCGCTGTCTGCTCCGTGCGTGTTTGTAGTTTACTGAAGTCGTGCTGTGACACCCGAGTGGATTCGTGTATTGGGCGCTCTGGATTGCCCATTGTGCAGAAAATACGGTAAGTGACAGTTTGTGTAGGGTGATTTACAAAATCAAAAACTGGGACACACCCGGGTTGGGATGTTTAGTATAAATACAATTGTGAAAAGAGCGTGTAACATTGTGTATTCTGAAGTCTGAGGGATTTCTGTCACTAGGGGTGTGCAAACATATTGAAATAAGGCAGATTATAAGACGTAATATCAAAAAACGGGTCTATTTGATGTTTTTTTTTTTAAGGCGCGCCGGGTTATAAGGTGCATTAAGCGAAACAAAGCAAACTTTAAATCATCCACAGTAATTCTCAATATTCAACAGTTAACACTTAAAAAAAAAAAAAACACTCACTTTTTCAGTTCATTCCTCTTCCACAAGTTCAACAAATTCATCGTCAGTGTCTGAGTTTTGGGCGATTACGGCATCAAGCCCAGATCCCTCTCATCATTATCCGAGTCAGTCTTGTCGCTGTTACTTAGCTGTTCAGTGATGATTCCGGCCTTCGTGAAAGCTCGGACGACGCTCGAGACTTATACCTTAGCCCAGGCATCCACGATCCATTGGCAGATAGTGGCGTACCTCTCATGGTTTTGCCTCCCTGTCTTTGAACGACCTGTTGACACTGGTACCTAGTGGTTCGAGTTCTTTGGTTAATCCACCTGGAATGATGGCAAGCTCTGAATTAGTTTGCTTCACTTGGGTTTTGACAGTATCTGTGAGATCGGCGCGCATGGAGTCGCAGATCAATAGGGACGGACATTTGTGGAAAAATCCATGTGGTGTACATATTACTCCGCAATGCTCCTGAATACTAGCCTCATTCATCAGCCGGTTTCACTCTGTGGAAACCGTCTGACCTAGCAGCATTAGGATTCGTTCACTGTTCGACTGTAGGTGGGTACTTTTTTATTTAACCAATCGCTGCTATTTGGTCATGACATATGCAATGCACTGCTTAAGCTTTTCAAAAGAAACAGAAAACACACACCAAAATTCTTGTAGAGGTGTAAAGGCAAGGAGCAGCAAGACAAAAGTGAAAAAATGCATAGCACACTCAGATGGCCGATGTTTTTTAAATAACGTTTCGGCAAAAAAAGCCTTCATCAGATATTTTTCATGCTTTGGACTACAGCATACGCACACAAATATTAAGCTTTTTCCAAATCCCATAGGAAGAATGGCAAAAACGTCTTTCCCCTTGATAAAATTCACCAAACATTCTCTTTGTTCCAGCTTTAAATCCTCGATCTCTGAAATCGTTGCCGACACAGAATGTATGGCTCTTCTCTGATTGGCTGGTGCCCGGACTCGCTCTTCCGTTCTTCTCGCTCTTGTAAACCGTCTCGTGTATTCCGATTCCTGACCTAGTCGCTGGACTATGCTCCGACAATCCATCAAGCGGTGCGGCTTCGTAGCTTACAAAAGTCGTACTAAAACGTTTTGACTGATTATTGAGTGCCATGTACCACAGAAAATCAGTTTTGAGGTCAGTAAGCACAACCAGGATAAATACATAAAGTGCATTGTTGGTTTTTGAAAAAATTAACGGATTTTAAATGCGTTATAGTCCAGAAAATATGGTAGTTTAAAGTAGATTACAAATAATAGGCCTAGTATTAACCTAATCATTTTTTTAAATATGACATCCCACAAATGGGTGATTCACAGCCCTTACCATAATACACAATGCAAGATAAAAAATAAATAAATAAAAAGAATACAAGAATACTCAAACATGCCTGTATCAAAATACTACCTTGAGTAATCACGAGAAAATTTCATTATAACAAGATTAAAAGTTAATTTAAGTGGATTTTGCATGACTAAGATTACTATATCGATTTATCGTTCTGTATATGAAAGCTGGAACAACATTTTTGGGGTTGGTATTCATTTTATGTACATTTTCTTTGCACAACTGGGATTATTTTTTGACTATATGATAAAATTTAAGCTGTAAAAGCCTGAATTAAAAACTTCTATGTCTCATTACAGGTACAAACTAAGTACTTAAGTGTGTCGTTCTGCTGTTTCTTTATTGCAGTGAGCGTGTTTTAACCCTATTTTACATTTAGAATAGTTTTTGGAAGTTAATTCTAGTACTTTAGGGTCATTATGTCAAAGGTGTATATGCGTTTTTAGAGTATAATATTTGTCATCTGTACTATATTCTCCAGTACTATATCACTCTTTAAATTTGTTGTAGTGACAGACCGATGCGTAACATATTTTTTTATTTACCTCACATTTTATTTGTGACCATTTCGTGAGTGGGAAACCATGTCAAGCGTCTGTATGAGTGTGGACCAGATCTATTTTAACCCAAGTGTTTACATGCGACGGAGAGGGGGAGGTCAGGGGTGCGGGAGGAGTGCTTTATGAAGGGTGCTCGAAAGCTGTAGATAAACGTTGACTGTTGTTGTGTCCACAGGCAAGACTCTTCATGCGCTCAGCCAAACACATTTCCGTCACTGTGTATTTGAGGGTGCGGGTTTGTTTGTGTAAGTGGGATTAAAAAAAAGCATTGAGGACCTTCCTGTGATGTCACTGGGACAAAAAAACAAAACAAAACAAGAAAGAAAAAAAAAAAGTTTTAGTAAGACTTTTTTGTTTAAGCCAAACAGAGTCTGTATATTGAAGTGTATTGTATTTTTTGGACTATAAGTCACACTTTTTTTTCACGGTTTTGGTGGTCCTGCTCTGGTGTGACTTATGTATTAAAATTTTCACACTGACAACCTCAAGAGGGCGCTCTTGTATGTCAGTATCTACTGCTCCTGTTCCTCCTGTACCACTGTCACTTCGCTCTACTGCACATGTCTCCTGCAGAAAGAGCCTCTGTCCTGTTACTCTGGGGTATAAGTCGCACCAGCCAAAAAATGCGTAATGAAGAAGAAAAAAAAAAAAAAAATTGTGGGAAATTTATTTTATAAAATAAGAGACCAGGAACCGACATTTCATCTTGAAAGTCAAGTTCTAGTAACAACAATAGAACAGAGAACAACAGACTGTTAACGTCACATATGAACAGTTCTTCAGATAAACTATAACATAAACAACAAACAGAACAAGTTTACCAAACTCTCCATCTCACTCCAAATCACTAAATCCATTTAGTTCTTCATCCTCGGTGTCACTTCTGAGCAACTCTGCGACCCCCGGAGGTAAACAGAGTGCCTCTTCCTCTTCTGTGTAGCTGTCATTATCAGGATGGTTTCAGGTGTCACTGAAGTCCAGACTTTGTTGATCCATCCAGTGACTTCCAGGAAAGTTTCATGGTGCATCCTCCCGGTGTCACAAGTTTCTCGCTCACTCCAAACTTTCTTTTTGCTGCTTGATTTCCGTTTTCAGCTGAATATTTCACGACTTGCAGCTTGTAATCTGTAAAATATGATTTTCTTTTTGGGGGCATTTGTGTTCAGTCTTCTCAGTCGTCTTTATAAGTTTGTTTAAAACTTGTAATTTTCAGTGGTACAGAAGTAATGTTGCGATCGACTGACATGATACAGACAGGACAGAGGCTCTTTCTGCAGGAGACATGCGCAGTAGAGCCAAGTGACAGTGGTACAGGAGGAACA